AGCCAAAAAAGCCTGGTATCTGATTGCGAAATAGGAAGCTTGACAAGTCATTATTCATTCCTACTTTGTCTAAAATTTAAGTGATTTTTGCTTTATATTTTGGCCTCCATTGTGATGCATAATATAAATGCCATATATTCACACATTTATCTACTAACTATATAAATGTGCTGCAGAAAATAATTATTTCAAAAATATTTTTAGTAATTATTTTTTTGAGCAAACTTAGTCTAATTATGTATCATGAATGATCAGATGAGGGGTCAATAGCTACAGATGCATAATTTCACTCTGATAGATTGCTGTTTGAAAATAGGTTAGGACAATTAGATGATTAATCTTCTTCTATTAAATAGTGCTATGAGGCTTCAGATCACATTTATCAGTATATTCTCTTTAGTATGAACATAACAAGAAGACAGACAAGACAGAATAGAGATTTATACTCTTTGATAAATAATCTGTTTCATTTTAATCAACTACAGTTGGGAAAATAGCCAGAAAATGAAATTGTTTAGAGACTTATTTTATGTTCTGTATTCAGGATAATATGTTAGATGCATAATCTATTAAAAATTAAAAGATGTGGTTTTGATGAGTGAAACCCCAGATGCTCTGCCGGCAGTTTCTTTTGGGGTGCTGTTTATCTGCAAAGCCTAGACCCCTTGTCAGTGTACTGGGGAGTGCCTGTGTAAACATTCTTGCTTCGCCTGCTCCTCATACTTGTTTCTTGTATCGTATTTCTTCTGACCTCGCTCTCTGAAACCAATTACAGGAGATCCATTTGGACTGTTTCTATTTTCATAAGAAGCCTAGGCAGGAGTGTTTTTCTCAGAGATGAATATCAACATCAAATATGCTCCTGAGTGCTTTGTTATTTATGTTTCAGAGAGATTCTGTAGCCTTCAGCTCTCAAGAATGTGTCACGCTGTGCTGTTTATACATTGAAGATATTAATGGGCGTAGATGTCATTTTTCATTTTAATGTCTCAAATGCAACAGGCTGATAGGTTAAGCATTCCTATTTTTATGGGGAGTGATATGAATGGTGTCTGCTTTTCCCCAAATATGCATATATATTTACTTAGGGGGAAAAAAGAGTCACTTATAAACCTTAGAATACTCAGCATTTTAGTTGTCTCGGTATCGCTAAACTGTGCTCAAGTAATTTTATTTCTATTGAATATTTTTAGTATTCCTCCAAAGAGGAAAAAAAAAAGAAGAATAAAAGGAAAATTTTGATGGGTTTTCTAACAATTCACAAAGTTTTCACCTTAAATTAATTCTCACAGAGGCCTATTCCATTTTGTGAGGGTCATCACAACATAGGTTAATATCAGCTGAGACAAGTGACATGTCTGAACTTTGCTATGCTTACAAAAGTTCATCTTACTTAAAATTTTGTACCAATAGTTTGAGTTGATGTTTTCAATAAATATCTTACAGAACAAAATGTACTCAGTTCTAGAAAGCCTGTTTCTTACACCTTTGGTGCTACTAATAAATGTTTATTCTTCTTTTAAGATATTTAATCTTATTCCATTTCAAGAATATCCTATCTTAATTCTCTCTAGCATAGACAACTGTATTAACGCACATCTTTAATTGAAAACCAATGTGATTTTGGAACTCAAACTCAGTCTGGTTGCTTTTGCAATCTCTCCTCTTACTCAAAAAGGGCTCAGTGTTTACTAAAAGTAATTTGTCAACAACCCCCGGGTTTCTGTTACAAATGAATTCTGAAGGAGAGGTGAACTCATTAGACGTATCTGAAGCTTCCTGAGGACAACTGACATTCACCTTTTTTATTCAACAATTTATAATGAGCAAGTGATTTTCAAAACAGTAACTTGTGTAATTCCACACATATATTAAGTAAAGTGATTTACTTTACAATCTTTCATTTTATGAATAGTGACAATAATCAGTTACAAAAGTGAGACAATTGTCTCTGAAAAATTGTTTGTAGAAATGTAAAATCCTAAAGCACTAGTATCTAGTACTTTGGGTGTAAAAATGTCATATGATGTGTGCAGCTTGAATGTAAACTGCAAGGGATTTCTACTTGTGGGGTTTAAGTCATGTATGAATGCTTGAGTTTGTTGTTATTGTTTTCCCACATCTTGTGTTTATCACAGCGATTTTTACTGCTCACAAAAGAATGTGGAGACAAGCAAGTGGCTATCATTTTCCATAACCACGTGTATTGGAAGATGGTAGTCAGGTATTTTAAGGATAATCTAAGTGCATATGAATTATAAGGAGATGAAGAAGCAAACATTAACCAGCTGCTCTGTTAAATGAAGTGAAGGCATATGCCTCTCTCTGCCTTACCATACGTTCATGAGCAGAACTTCTAGTATGTTTCTATAGCACTGGGACTCACACAAGATAATGGTGAATTATTGGTGTTGAGATAGAGGTTTACAATTCAGAAATGCAAGTATAGTGAACAAAGTGAGTGAACCCTAAGCTTGGGAACCAGAGGAATGACTGACTGGGCTCTCCTACTGCCTTGAGATGTTAATCCAGAGACTGGGGAATAGAGTCTGCAAAACGAGAAACCTAGAATTGATATACTCTAAGATTTTGTGTAGCTTTAGAGTCTTCAAATTGTGTTAGTAATGACTGACATAGTGACCAGGGTATTATAAAGGTTTTGGTGGAGTATTAAGAAATAGAACATTATCTGTAAATAAGTATGCCTTTTTTCTGTGATACATATTATATTAACTTGAAAATTCAAGTATATAAATATTATAAGTCATTGTTCTAAGTTCTGAAAAAAAATGGAATTGCCATCTTTGCAAATAAATGTAATTCATTGTGGTATTAGATACTTTCTTTTCCTAGAATTTTATTCATTGTTAATTAAAGATTGATTACTTTGACAGAATAGAGATGATATGGGACACTGAAATCCACACTATTCTTGAAGCCAGGTGACTTAGAACAAAGCATTCACAGTTTTATGGCCTTAAACAAAGCAATTGACAACAACTTTAGACCTTATTGTTTGCCCATTTGTCAAAATGAAGGGATCATACTTTATGATTTTTAAGATTACTTTTAGTGGGCATCATTTTTTGTTTCAAGATTATAAATAGTTTTTATTAGAATAGTATTAGGCCAACAACAAATTAACACAAACATATATATGGGAGAGAGTTCTCAAAGAGAAGAACATGAGGAAAGTAATTATTTTTTAAGTTTTAACAAGCATAGCTCAAGTCATAGTATAGTAATATCAGCTTGAAAGTTGCTGCTCATAGTTATTTTTTAGGTCACAATTGGAAGAGCAAATTTATAAAATACTGAGTAGAATTTGCAAGTGAATCTTATGGTACTAAGATAACCATGGAATTAATTTTTAGTTTATCCTCATACTGAATTGTATAATAAGTTGCCAGAACTCAGTGACATGCCATTATAAGCAATGCTTAGTTTGAGTTGTAATTACTTGAAAAGTTTTTCTTTTCTTTTCTTTTTTTTTTTTTTTTTAAGCACACACATCCACAAGGAAAAATCTCCACTATGTGCAAGTGTGCTTCCAAACGCAAAAGCAGCACTTGACAAAGGTGGTAGATCCTGCCATGGAAAGACAAATCAGTGCGGTTAGGGGAGGCTGCTAGTGCATCGGTTTGTTTACTTTGGCTTCTGTGTCTGCCTGCCTTCTCAGAAAACTTGCTTGGAGCCAGACTGTAGCAGCCCTTTCTCTGTCTTTTCATAATTGATCAGGGGATGACTGCTTTCCCTGAGGGTTAAGACGTGGCAACTTTTTCTGTTTGCTCAGCATCTCAATGCAGTAGTTCAAACATTGTTCACACCAGCTGGCGTGTAAAGCCATATGCACATCTTGTCAAAGCAACTGTTGTCATGGATACTGGAAACTCACTCAAAAACCATATCATTGATCCTAATCAAAATTGTACTTATTATCGGTTTAGAATCTTAATTATTGTAGGAGACTATTGATCTGCGTTTTGCCACAATGGGAAAAAATTATCTTGTATTCTAAGACAATGAATAACAATGACTGTTTTATATATCAAAAATATCTAACACAACTGTTTGTGGAATTCAGCTGTCCAGAAAAAATGAATTTTGATATAGGAGCTCTCAAAAACTTTTCTTAACATTAGTTTAATGGTGCTAGTCATTTAAATAATATAAAATATATTCTTGTTTCTTTCACTAGTTTGTGAAAGTCATGTACTTCATTCACCAACACATCCCCTCTCTAGGAAAATGCATGCTTACATTACTTTCTTATATTGATTTTTTTGTTTGTTTGTTTTTTCTCTGAGTGAATAAGATAACACATAAATAAATAAATACATCTTCTGTTTTGATTGGTATTCTGTCACACACAGAAACAATCCTGATTGGTTGAGTGGTAAATTTTTGTTCTCTGATTTTGCTAAGAATGCAAATGAAACCCACTCAATTTTATTTGGCATTAAAACTGCACTTTATTTTGTCAAAGGAGAGGGTTTTTCCCCCCTTGAGTTGTAAGTACCAAAAAAAGTGTTTTTAATCTTACTGAAAATCCTTATTAATTCACTTTCAAGATAATCTGAGGTTGATTTGTCAAATTTAATTACAGCTTCCGGTAACACTTGAAGTCTACTGCTTTTACTTCAAAATTGTAATACAAAAATGCAAATTGAATGATAATTCGTAAGGGAGTGGGCATTTTAGGAACACTCAGAGATAAATTCTGTGGGAATGAGGTTATTGATGCAGTTTGTGATTTTCTCTTCTTGAAGCAAGTTCAACAAATTAGAATTATGTCCTGTAGGATTACAAGCATCTGCCCAATTTTGAATAAATGTGTATATATATATGTGTTTTGTGAGGTTTTTTTAATGTATAGGGAGAAAAAAAGAATAATGGTGAAGATAAGTTTGGTGGTCCTCATTTATATTAAGTAAGAAACAACTGGAAAGCCATTCCAAGTTTTAAAAAGTGTTTAGCTATTTTCTCCTTTTTCCTTTCAGGCTCTCCAGGCAGCAAGACAACTTCTGTTACAACAGCAAACAAGTGGGTTGAAATCTCCTAAGAGCAGTGACAAACAGAGGCCATTGCAGGTTGGTAATGCATGCCCATCCTTGAGACCTGATCTTAATGATGTTCACAATAACGACAGATGAGCAAAGCATTGTATATTAAATTTGCATATACATTTAATGTTTGTTCCAAAAGAAAATCCATGGTATCTTCGTAAAGGGGGCTTTACACATACTATTAGCACAGATTTCAAAAAGTTTCCAAGTTCATTCCTTGCAAAAACTGTTTTAGAAATTTGTTACATGCAGGCATAAAATATTTTGTGTAAATTCCTTTGTAGATTTTAATGGGATTTTATTCAGTAATAGGTTAAAATATGAAAATTAATCCAAAACAATGGTGAAATGGTGTGGAAGGAAGGAAAGCAGTCTTAGGTAATACTCTGCTCTATTGACAAGTGACAAATTTGTAAGTCCTCCCTGATTGCAAAAAAGTCTTTGAGTTTGCCAAGGACCTATTACTGTTGCTATAGATAAAAGAAGACATTCTTGAGTTTGTTGTCCTTTCTTACTCTATTTGTCCAGGGGAAGTGATGTATTTATTCATGCTAAAAGAAGTTGTATTACATAAATATAACCATTGTATTTATACATTTCCTTGGAGGAAAATATTTTAATGTATAGTCTTAGGTTGTCTATTAGGTAGAATGTGGAGGTGGAGTGACATTTTTCACAAGATTTCTTAGAGTGTTTGAAAAAATAAGCAATACTTTTCCTGAAGCATTTGATATATATATTATATATATATATATTATATATATATATATATATATATGTAATAAAGCAAGCTGTATTACTGGTTAAGCAGGCATTTCATGTCTCTTTATTTTAACAAGATATTCTTCTTTTAGTGGCTTTGACTTTTGATATCATTCATGTTCACAGAGGTTAACATCTAACTCTTAAAAGATGGTGTTCTATGCCTTAGATTCTCTTAAGAAAATTAAGGACTATTGAGCCATATAAGCCAGAAATGTCTTACTACCAAAAAAAAAAAAAAAAAAAAAGTTGATAGGCCCTAAACAAATTTGAGATGAAAACACATTTTTATTTATTTATTTATTTTTGGAACAAGGTTCTTGTTTTGCAGCAGGAAGAAGATAAGACTACAGGAACTCAACAATGTCTAAGTGCCACATCTCTGTAATAACTGTAAAAGCAAAAAGTTTTCATAGAAACTTCCAGAATGTAAGATTATTTTCAATATTTTTATCTTTAAAAGAATTCCATAGAATTTTGTTTTAATTAATGAGGAATCTTGGAAAGACTTTTTGTCACCATCAATCATATCTCTGTCCTAGTTATAGCAGTGAGAATAACACTGTCATAGTTACCTGACTCCATGAAACTCTGTTGCTTGACATAGCAGGAAAATTCCATACAGAGCAAGTGAAAGAAGACATGAAATGAAGCACAGACCTCCAGTTCAGCTTCCGGGTTGGAATTTAACTTTCTTTTTAGTTTGGAAAGAAGGAATTTTTTTGTTGACAACATAAGTCAATGATTGGAAAGAAATTATTGTTTTGAAAGTCAGAAAACACTATTCTCGAATATATATTTTATATTTCTTGACATCATAGAGGATTTTCAGTTGCCTCTTCCTCTTCAAACCTCAGTCAAGAGATGTGTCTTTCCTTGCTTGGTATCAGGTTGTCTATGGAACCAACAACTTGGCTCTAGTTTTCTCTCATTCTTTTTTCTTTCTTTCTTTCTTTTTTTTTTTTCTGTCATAGTTAAACTACAGATCAATATTTGGTACTCATTTTAACTAAAATATAGATTTTTATTTATTTTACTATATGCATTCACATGTACAATGTGGCTCTGAATTAAGAATTTGTTCACATGTCAACTGTTATACATAAATTATTTCTGAGCAGAAATCCTCAATTTCCACAGTTATGCATGAAAGGCTGATAAAATCATTGTAAATACCCATTAGCAACTGCAGCTACTAACCATCCTGGAGCCTCTCCTCATGTCACCTACATTTTGTGTTTCATGAGCATATGAATTTGCTCCATGGTATAGATTGTAGGACCACAGTGCTTTAGTACCATGTATAGCTGTAATGAGATCATAAAATAAAATGTCACAGGAATGAGAAGACGATTTTTTATGAATGAGAAATTAGAACTAATGAAGACCTACTTTTCCCCCAAAATATGCACTGTAATTAATACAATGTGAGGCTGAAATTTTAATATTTCATGGTACTTGATAAGCTTAGCATTTATAGACATGAAGAGATTGTATTGTAAGTCTAATAAAAATGTAACTGTGTTCCACACTAGCTTATACATCTATTTTTAAACAGAGATATTAGTCAATGCTCATCTTGGCCTCTGCAAATATTATTAACATGAATTGTATTTGTTTTCAAAACTGGAATGTATTTGCTAGAATTTTTAATCGTGTGATATGAAATTAATATTTGAAAGTATTATGATATGGCTTTCTCATAGTCTTGTTTTTATCCTAATAACTCAAGTTTAACAAAACTTTTCTCATATAGTTGATATGTATTATATTTTAAATTTCTAATGGTTAATTGAAAACGCTGGGTCACCCTTGCAAGGTATACTCTTTGATGCTCTTGAGTAACAGCTTCCTGACACGTCAGTCATAGTGCCTTGCAGGCCCAGAACAGATGCTTTTATATTATTATCATTTAAAAATTTAGCTTCCAAGCAGATGTTTTTACAACGTTTGAAATAAAATTCCGTTCTAATAACAATTCTTTGACGGTTCAAGTCACAAGAACAATATGCAGATGCTAGTTTAACATTCACCTGAATTACTTTAAGTCTAAACTGGGGACAGATTGAAATGTGGCCTGATACTGTCAGTGTTTGTCAGTGCAGTGTTTACATTCTGCTCCCTTTTCTTTTATGTTTTCACATTCCTGTGATATAGATGGCATAAATATTAGCACGTGTACCAAAAAATGAAATAAATACTATCATCAGCCTCGTCACCAGCTTTAGTCATGACATCAGTTTCCCTTTATAAGTATCTGAATAGCTATGTTTGAAATATGTTTATATATTCTAGTCATTATATGATGCCCCAATTAAGTAGGTCCAGGCAATAAGTATATCTCTTTACATGATACTGACAAATACTTACAAATATTGGGATGCACAAGGCAGCTGATGTTCACCTAATATCACGACATGATTTTTCCTTGCAATTTTTACAACATCCCAGAAAACAACCTTATTAAAAAGCAGCAGAATAAGCCCTCTTTTCTGCATGTGCTTTATTTGATTTTATTACTTGCATTGCCAACACATGATATAGTTACAGTGATCCACACTGAGAAAACTTAGCCCACAATAGTATTAAATGGTTTCAATTTCAAGAAACTGATTATTATGTTAGGAGGAATAAACACACATATACACAAACAGATTCGTGCACAATAGCAACATTCTGAAATTTTATATTCTTTTTTGTAAAATATATTAGCAGTGTCTAGCCTATGATATATTTAGTTTAGATCTGAAAATCGGTCGCATTATTGTTCTTGTTACGTTTACAGCCATTGAGACAGACTTGTGGGTCTCTAACACCTGTGCAGTGCAGAGACATAAACTTAAGATAAATGCCATTTCTTTGCTATCTCAGATGAATATCAGTATAAGAAATTGTAATCATACCTTCCCTGAAGGTTCAGATCTCATATAAAATACCTGCGTTCAGTTGGTGGTTAAAGTTATTAATTTTTATAAGTATGTCTTAACAAGTAAAAGAGTAGGGTAGTTGAAAGCAAAAGTGAATTAACCAGAGGAGTCTTATTCTGACTCTGCTTCAAAATCATTATACAAATTTGAATAAGTCTCTTGACGTTCTTAAAGACACTGGACAGATTAGCTAAATGTAAAATGTCAGGAATGAAATTATGTTCTTTTTTTTTTTATTTTGAAGAAAGTGATGGTCATAATGAGTTCTTTTTTTTTCTGATTATTTCAAGGACCAACCAAAGCATCCACTTGCTAACATAAGACAGCCAGAAAATGCTTTGGAATCAAATAATCAAATCTCATGTTTTAGGAAATTATTGTTCCAATAAAACATTTACCAATATCCAAGGGCTTTATATTTCATTAAATGGCAGGGAACAATACTATAAATTGCATTATTGCTACACACAAAAAAATTCTCCTGTATATATTTTTTCAAACTACATTTAAATGCTGTGATATAATACAATCCTTTAGCATCATTTATACATTATTGTTATCCCTGAAATTAAAAAATGGTAAAATTCATATCAGCAGCAAAAATGCATTCTCATTCTATAATCAACTACTCAATAACTCATGTTTTCTATCAAATATCAGGACTAAGGCAGTAATGTTCTAATTTTAAAACTAGTGATATACTTTGGGGAAAATACTAATTTTATGGGACACAGACCTATACATGGCTGAGTATTCTTTAGGAAACAACAAAATTTTACTGATGTATTAGTAAAACATAAAATTAAACATTTTAAACATCAGTTCTAGTTGTAATGAAAATTTTTGTATGGTTTGGCTAGAAGAAATCATTGTGATATAGAAAACATGAAAATAAATTTAAACAGTTTCTCCCGGTTACATCTTCATCTCTAAAAAACATGCAATGAGCCAGGTACATTGCATCTTGAACATAAAAGGATGAAAAGTTGAATTTATGCATGCATGACCATGTTTCTGTTATTTTGGTTTCCATTCTAATAGAAAACTTTACTGAAACGCAGCCTGAAGAGGCAGGTCTAAATTAAAACCATTCTTTAGCATGTGTTCCCACTGGTGAACATACTGCCTGAAACTCACCTCCTCTAGAAAAATATCTGGAGTATCTAGCCTATTATCTCCAAGTGCATATGTGTGCAAAAGTCCCACAAGGTCAACTCATAGCATAGAGAAGGAAGACAGAACAAATTTTTATCTTGAATCTCCCTTGCATCAGTAAGAGGTCAGTCACTTAATTTTCTGAACTGTATTAACTCATCTCAAAAGTGGAAATTAAAA